CAGTAAGCAAGAGGCCATCAAGAGCCAGACCCACTGGAAGGAAAACCAAGCAACTGCATCCCAGCCTGCCACTGGGACCCAAGAGACTGGCAGACAGGGACCAAGAGCTTCCCAAGCAGGGAGGACTGTATCGGCAGGCCCAGGAAGGCCAGCGTGGCCCCACAGAATGAGCGGAGGTGGCAGGAGGAGATGAGGTCTCCGTCCACAGGGACTGTCTCATCACAGGCCTTAGTTCCTGTCTTTTCAGGCCATTTCTTAGAGAGTCATCAACAAGGCATGACACTGTCACATTAGGACCCTTTCTTTATGTTAGAAGATTTATATAAGGAAATTTTCGTTTTTTTGAAGCAGATGAGGAAAGGAAAGGCTTTTTGAATACCTGTATTTCTGAACTTTAAATAGAGATCAAGCCTACTTAAAAAATAAACTTTCCTAAAATGGAAAATAAAAGTTTTAGAACTTTATTCTTCAGAGATCTTATCTGACAGTGATAGCACCAGACATAAATTTTCACCAGTCTCTTACCCAAAATAACAACGAAGAGGAATGTTTATGGACTCAATGTTATGTTAATTCTTTGTTGTTGTTTTTTGAGTCGGAGTCTAGCTCTGTCGCCAGGCTGGAGTGCAGTGGTGCGGCCTCAGCCACTGCAACCTTCACCTCAAGTGGTCCTCCTGTTTCAGCCTCCCGAGTAGCTCAGACTGCAGGCGTGCACCACCACGCCCAGCCAATTTCTTGTGTTTTTAGTAGAGACGGGGTTTCACCATGTTGACCAGGTGGTCTTGATCTCTTGACCTCGTGATCCGCCCGTCTTGGCCTCCCAAAGTACTGGGATTACAGGCGTGAGCCTCCGCGCCCAGCCTGGGTTCTTAATTCTCTTAATTCCCAGTTTAAAAATGATCAAATTACTACAGTGTTATGTATTTATCACCCAAATACACATACACATTGTATACCTTACAACAGGCAGGTAATAACACCCTAGTTTTGGTGCAGCTATTGTTAAAGTTTCTGCTCTAGACCATCTTGTTTCTAGCTTTGGATTGCCAGAGAAACAGTGGCCAGGGCATTCCTCTTGCCATCCATCATGTTCTGTGGACGTAGTTCCCTAATGTTAGGCCAGAGGTACTGTCTCCTCTCTTTCTGCCGTATGACACATGGTGGTGCTGGGTTGAGGGTTGGCCTTTTATTAGTGGCCTAGTAAATAGGTGTGTACTGACTGTACAGTGGCCGTAACCTAGCATTGTGTAAACTCCAAGCTCTTCTAGCACATTCAGAACTACTCAGCTTTAAAAAGTACATTCTAGTATGTACTGATTTATTCAGTACGTATTTCAGTGCCTTCTGTGTGCATGAGACATTTTGGTATAATGAACAAAAGAGATTCACTAGGGTCTAAACCACTGGCTTCTCTCAAGCACTTACAGGATAGCAAGTGTGGTCAGCATCCCTGGACACCTAGCTGGTTAAGCTGCCGGGGAGCTGGTTTAGATTACTTAAATTCATACGATGGAAGTCCTTCTTAGAGAGCAAACCTTCCACAGTCCATGCATTTGTCCACCTTGGTGGAAAGGTAAAAGTAGGAGAATCACAGTCACTAAGACTGTTGTGTTGCTGAGTTTTGTGAAGAACTGAGTGGTCTGATGTCATCTCCACCTAGCATGGGCCCACATGCCCTGGAAGGTGGTGTGACGTGTTTGCACTTGTAAAAAGGAGGAATATTTTCAGCGGCTGTACAGCTGGACACGTGCGTAGTGAATTTATGAATCTCACACTAAGATTGTACTCTTAGGCAACACCATTTCAGTAGGATTTTGGATAAATTAATAAATGGCCACTGGTTCTCAAGAAAGATGAGGGTATGTGGTATATATTTTTAAATTAAAAACTTTTTAGTGTAGAAAATTTCAAGCATGTATAAAACTGCAGAGAACTCACAGAGCTTTTTAAGATGCAAACTGAAAAATTCTGTACTTAGAATAGGCCATCCCTGTCTGGTGAGATATCTGCTCACACCTTGGGTAGGGCTTTGTGGAGAAGATTTAAGAAGCACAGACCATCGGCCTGACTTTGTGGATTGTGCAAGCGGTCTGCCTTTTCGCAGTGCTTCAATTTTCATTAGTGGGTGGGAGTAGCCCTCTGTAAGATAGGAAGGCCTCGCAGTAAGATGAGCACATTCCAGGCAGTGATAATTCACGTGATAGAGTCATGGAACGTTAGTAGGAGAACCCATCTGGCTCAGTCGCCCACAGCCCTGGCTGGACAATAGCAGATGACCACACCGTCCTTTCCTTTGTTTAGTATGTCCCTTGATTAATTTGGGGATGTTAAACCAGCCCTGCACCTCTGGGATGAATCTTACCGGTCATGATGTGTGACCCCTCTTTTCTGTGTTGGTGGATTTAGTCTGCTAATGGTCTGTTGGGGATTTTTTTCCTGTGTGTTTGTTGTGAGGAATATCCTTTCACAGTTGTCTTTTCCTTCGATGCCTTTGGCCTTGTATTATTAGGGCAATACCAGGCCCAGAGGGTGAGAGAGAAAGTGCTCCTGCCTCTTGTGTTTTCTGAAAGCGATCGTGTAAGCCTGGTACGTCTTTCTTCCTTAAATATTTGATAAAATTCACTGGTGAGGCTCTTTAGGTCGTGTGTGTGTGTGTGTGAATGATTTTTAATAACTGATTGTCTTTTTCTTAAGAGTTATATTCATATTTTCTCTTTTTTGGTCAGTTTTGGTACTTGTGTCTCATGGGATTTGCTCATTTCATCTAAATTGTCTAGTGTGTTGATGTCAAGTTGCTCATAATGTCTTTTTAATTTCTTAGGGTCTGTTGCAACGTCCCTCTTTGTTTCCTTATTTTGGTAATTTATCTTCTCTCCTGTTTCCTTGCTCAGTATCTTTAAAGGAGCGTCAGTTTTTTGCTGATCTCAAAATACCAACTTTTGGTTTCACTGATTTTCTTTATTTTTCTTTTTACCACACTGTTGCTTTTCACTGTGATCTTTATCGTTTTTTTTTTCTTCCTTCTACTTGGGTTTGATTTACTTTTTCTGAGGAAGGGGGATTAGCTTCTTGAGGTAGAAACAGAAACTCAAATGATTGATTTTAGATGTTTTTCCTTTTTGATGTAATTGCTTAAGTTACACCCCCTAAATTTTGATGTGTTGTATTTTTCTTTTCATTCAGTTTAAATATTTTTTGTTCAGTGTTTGTCCTGTGGTTTATATTTCTTAGCCTGGCGTCCTAGGGGTCGACCCTTCTGCTGTATGGCTTAGTAGCCAGCCAGCGACTGGGAGGAGCTTGTGCTCAGGTCCCTGGACCCTGCACGGCCCCCCATGGCCCATGATCGGGATTTGGGTTGGGGCTTCCCAGGCAACCATGTGGGGAGAGCCCGTCTAGGTCTAGGCCTTCTCTGGCACTTTCCCCTCTGGAATCTCCTCATTAGGTTTCTCAGATTTCTGGCTGGTCTGCTGCTTGTTCCGAGCTGAACCGTGACCAGAGGCCCACAGGTCCATTGACTTCCTTGCGCCTTTCCCGCCAAGGGTGCTGCTGGGGAACGTCAGGCCTTTGTGGATGTCGGCCCTGTGCTGATGGAGCTGCCATGTCTGCCGGCCTCAGGGAGGCAGCAAACTGCACTGTCCTCACAGCTCAGGAAGAAGTGCTTCTCCGTTTGTTTCATTTTCTCTGATTTCCAGAGTCCTCAAATGTTGTTTTGGGCAATTTGTTCAGGTTTTACTTGTTCTGGAGAGAGAAGATTTGCAGACTTTTCCTGCCACCTGCTCCTGTGTGACATTTTTCATCTCCTCTTGTCTTGAGTTCCTGTGCTTTGGACAGTCTTAGCAGAAACCCTGGCTGCATCCGTCTTGCTCCAGTCCTCGCTCCTTCTCTTTGTGGAGCCCTTTGTTCCATTTGGTCTCCGCAAGATGCGTTTGGTCGGAAGAGCGGGTATGTGAGCTGCTTCTGAACCGGTTGACCAGGTTGCCCCGGAGACACTGGCACAGCTGAGCACCTGGTGGGAGGGTTTACCATCCCATGACTGGCACTCCATCCCTGTCAATGTTGAGAGTGGGCCTGGTGCTAATAAAAACCTTCGTCTTCCTTTTCAAGTCCATGCATCCATCTTTACCTAATCGATCAGGGCGGTGTCTGCTGTTCTTGCCCCCATCCTTTCCCAGCTTCCAACTGTTCTTGGGGGAAAGCACTACTCTCAGTACTGAAAGCAGCTGATAGGCACCACCCTGAGACATCTTTCTGCGGCCTGGAGGGGTGAACATCATAGGTGGTGAAGTTCCGAGGGGTACTTGCTTCCTAATCGATGAACAGACTGTTAATAAAACACCAAAGATGGGATTCCTGATGTTTCTAAGGTTCTTCATAGAGTAAGCGCGCTTCTTGGAAATCCGCATGCTGTGTACTTGTTTGGCAGAAGGAAGGGGAGTTTCTGGCCGGTATTTTGGGATGCTCTTCGGCACGTCAGCACACTGTGTTGGAGAGGTCCGAGTATTTGTAGTTCCTGTATTGAGAAGGAGTAGAAGGCGCCATGACCGGTGTGGAAGGCACAGCCGCAACTGGCAGGGCTTGGGCTCGTTGTTTTCTTAGGTTAGGTTGGAGTAGGAGTTAAAGTCTAAAACCACTTCTCATGCAAACAGTACATTTTCAAAAGAATGCTTTTGAAAATGAATAAGGCATGCTGCAAGTGAAAAATACGTATTGGATATGAAGTATGCTGAAGGTCGCCAGTATTTCACTGAATTAAACAGCATTTATTTTAATCTCAGACCTCTTACATGAATATAGTAATTAAAGCAGATCTCAGTGTTTGAAATTTCGAATCTATTCTTGGAAACTGACTACTCGCCAGTGAGAAATTTCCTTACTGGTGCCAGTGAAATCACAAGTTTCCAATCACACTTACTTGAAATGGTTTTGCCTTGAAACTTGTTTGAAATGGGAGGAGCGTTCAGTGCAGCACACTGAACAGCCTGCTGCCTTCTTGGTTTCAGCAGGGAGGAGAGAGCGATGGCTTTTTTCACCCAGAAGGCCAGCCCCAGCGGCTTCCCCAGCCTCCAGAAGTGGGACTGCAGCCTGCCCGCAAGGTGACACTGACCAGGGGGGGCCTTCAGCAGCCCCCACATCTGCCAGCAGGACCCCACGCACACTCGCCCGTCCCTCCAGGGATCAAAAGCATCCAAGGAATTCACCCGGGGAAGAAGGTACTGTACTGCTCATGACCTCGCGCACAGCGTGGGAAACGCGAAGGCTGTGTGTGTGAGGCGGTGTTCAGACGCTCTCTGATATGTAGCGCATGGCACACACATTAATGAACCATCATTTCCTTTGTTCTGGCTTTGAAAACACATTAACATTTTCACCAAAGCCTTTTCCTCTCCTGACTTATTTAACAGAACAAACCCAGAAGAGCACCCACAGCTGGGAGTGTGATGATTTCCCGCAGTTCTGAGCTGTCTACCCAGCGGCATCTGCTGTGCTCTCGGGACAGTGCGTGCTGCTGCGTGTCAGCATGTGCTCTTTCCCCTGTTCACTGATTCACCAGAAATTTTACAAATGTAGAATCAGGTGCGTGCTCATGGCCCCAGGTCAGACAGAGGAAACTGAGGTCTTTGGAGATGAAGTCACTTGCCCTAGGCCACATTCCCAGCTCCTTAGTCCTTCCCTTAACTCTGGAGATGGGAAGAAGCTTCTCTGAGTTCCGGCTGTCACACAGGATACAAGGGCGCTCCCTATCCCCTTTCTGATGGAATGACCATCTGTGCGTGAGGAGCACATCCTGCCATGTACACTGGTGACAGAGGGCCCTTCCCCTCAGCTTCTAGTGAGGCATCTTTTTGGCTCCCACAGTCTTGATAGTGAAGTACCCTCTTGGTGCAGAAGCCAGTGACACCTGTTGGGTGGAGCTGCGCAGAGGGAGACCTGGGCGCGGCCCTGCTTTGCACTCTGTGGAGGGTGGCAGGTCTGCCTGCTCATCCTCCCGGGTCATCTTGTCTCACTTAGTGTGACTGTTGAGACTCTTCTGGCTCCTTTTGAAGTATTTGAATTACGTTGTCTTATCCCATAAACACTTCATGATATGAGAGCAAACAAACAGAAGTGTAGACAGATTCAGTGATGATGCCAGTGTTAAGGTGATGGGCCCTTTAAAGATGGCTGCAGTCTGAATGTTCTTCCTTCGGTGTCATCCCTGAATATATGCTGAGAAAGGCCTTAGAACCACACAGCCCATACACAGGCATGCTCAGCACACTTGAGTTTCCCATCTTAAACCTCACTCGCTCTCTTCTCAATGAGGATAATGATGTTTCCTATCTTATGCAAGCAATTGTGAGGATCTTGTAAGAAGATGCATCTAAAAGACCTGGTGTTTGTTGTAAGAATAGGTGTGTGTTGGAGATAGGATTGTTAATATCATAACTAACTTCAGTTAGAACAGGAGAATAGTTAGTTGCTACTGGTTTCCAGCCAGTGTAACTTGCAGCTTTCAGTGTGTTTGCCAGCATGGTTTCTCTTGACCCTTTGCACCTGCTTGAAAGCTTACTTCCCAGGCGTGGTACCGCTGCCGTCTGCAGAGTACTGAGGCGTGTGGAGGTTTTCTCTGCGTTTCCTTTTCTGTGGGCGTACACTCTTGTCCTGACGTTCAACTCCACTTTCCACCTAACTTTCTTTGCCTTTTTCTGTGATGCCCTGGGAGACCACTGTTGTTCCATTCTGCCCACATTCCAGGACAGAATTAGGGTGAGACATCTGGAAACTTAGTGCCGTTCAGCTCCACCCTGCCTTCTGCACCTCACCGTTGTCCGGGCCGGAGGCATTGGGCACATGTGTCTTCTCTGACTTCCTCGTCTGGGAAAAGTGTGGGAAAGTTCAGCGGTCTCCTCTTTTTTACAGGTTCCTTGAGCCGTGGTTTTGAACCTTTGGCTGCTTTGAAAAATGGTGATGCCGGGGCCCACCCTAGAGCAGCAGGATCGCCCTTGAGGGTGTCTGGGTCCTCAGTCACAGTGTGTTTTTTGTTTCTTTTGAAAAGCACTGCAGACGGTGGAAATGTGCAGCCGCGGGTGAATCCCTGGCTGCAGAATCTGCCTGGGAGGGTTTCAGGATAGCAAATGCCATCTTTGCCAGCTGAGTCAGGTACAGAATGCTGTGGCTTGCTGGACTGGAAGGTGGACTTAGCACTGCGCACAACAGGTCCCCTGAAACCAGCCTAGAATACAGTAGGAGAAATGGGTGCTCTGGGCCAAGGACTGGATCCGGTTTCTTAACTGTGTCACTTGCAGGAAGTGTCTCAGCCTCTGCAGGGGTGCAGGCTTTGTCAGCAGCTCCCTCCTCTTCCTCTGCCTCAACCTAGACTTGCTGGGTATTGTTGTCTCATTTAAATATTAAACCATTCTCCTGTAGCTCCTGCTGTGTTTTAATGGATTCTAAGTTACTTGTTCCCTTTACGTCTTAGTGACTGGAAGAAGCTCAAGCTTGAAACTCTGAATGTCTTTCTTTTGTTGTCACCAGGCCATGATGCACGGACGAGGCAGAGGAGTGGCTGGTCCCATGGGCCGGGGACGCCTGATGCCAAACAAGCAGAACCTGCGGGTGGTGGAGTGCAAGCCGCAGCCCTGTGTGGTGTCCGTGGAGGGGCTGTCCTCATCCACCACGGACGCCCAGCTCAAGAGCCTGCTGATGTCAGTGGGACCCATTCAGGTAGCCGCCTGGGGGTGGCGTCTGTGCCACGGGTGCTTGTGTCCCAAGACAAAGTCATTTCTTGATTTAAAACACAGTGCCCATTGTGTTGGTTACTTTCATATGAAAATAATACTTGGGAAATAAGATAAATACCTATTGTGCACACTCGATATCAGAACATTTGCCTCAAAATGTTTATTTGGAAATTTTCGGACTCTTAGTTAAAAATTTTTAAGAAATAAATACTCCGACTGAGCAGATATCCTTTGAGATCTTCATATTATCACAGAGGATCTGACTTGCACAGATACAGAACAGTTTTTGTTCTTTCACATGACTTGTTTTATTTGTGATAACACTACATTTTAGAGTATTTAGCCTTCTTTTCCTCGCTTTCCAGAAACAGCTTCGTGTGCTCATAGCTGTGTGCCTTGGTTTTGATTTACAAACATGACAGTATCTTGGACTGTGCCTTCATGTCTTCATTTAAAGCTGGCTAATTCTAATGCTGAAACATGCCTCTGAGCTGGCTGCAAGTGAGACGCATGAAGAGGAACACAGTCCGAGGTCCATTGGAAACGGGGTTTTCCATGGAAGCTGCTGGTCTCTGTAGGCCCAGAGCCCTGTCGCTGAGCCAGCGAAGAAGCCACCTGCTTGTCCAGTCCCATGTCCTGTCGGGCGTCGCCCGCGTGCCTGTTGCTCCATTGCCATGCAGCCTGCATCCCATGGTGGGATCTGGTGTGTCTGAGGGCAGAGCACTTTGGAAATAGGATTTCTTTTTGGATCACAGAGTACATGTCAGAGTTCTGAGGAGTCTGGGGTGCTTTCTCTCAAGAATTTCTCGGAGCCCCTAGCTTCCTGGGTGAATTTGGAAACACTCAGACTAGGGTTGATGCGAGTAATTAATGTACATGTTTTAGATCTCCATCTGCTGTTGACAGTTCCTAAAAATGAGTCTATGAAAGTCCTTCCAGAGACCTAGACGTGACTGGTTTTAATTGCTACCATCTTCATTATTGGATTCCTGGGGAGACAGGCTTAATTTTTATTTGTGTGTAGTAATGGAAAGTAAATCCAAACCCTTGACCTCTATGATAGAGCAGGCTCCCTAGTGGTGCAGTTAGAAATGCTTTATCAGTTATTAGAGGCATGCAGTTTATGTTCAAGGATATTTCAGAACAATTGATCATAACCTAGATCAATTCACAGGAACAGAATAGACACTAGAGCATTTCAGATGCGTTAAAATGTGGTTATCCAAATCTGAGATTCTCAAAGCAAATGGCGATGGAGAATTCTGGTCCAGTAACTGTGTAGACGTGAGTCCAGATGAAAAACCCCAAGCCTAGTCTGTTAGCTGTGAGCCCCAGACAGTGCGCTTGGCGAGGCCTCACGTGTGCGGCCCAGTGTCCTGCTGCTGCTCCTGTCTTTTCGGCGTTCTGCACTCCCCTGTGGGCAGAAGGGTCACGTTGCTGTTTTCATGTCACCCGCTGCTTTGGTGGGCTTCGCTTCATCGCGTGTCGTCTTGATCACTTTCTTGAATATTTTTGAGTGCAATCCGGTGGTCAGGATCCACATCTGAACAGCAGGTACTGTTCACCTCTCATGGCATTGAATGAGGCTCAGTGGCTGCACTGGGAAAGTTAGCTGGGAGTCATTGCCAACCCAGCTGACTTCAGTCTTTTTTACATGGAATTTCTCATTTTATACTGTGGGATCGCATAGACCTTTAAAATGAATGGCTTTTTTTCCCCTTCCATTTGCCACTCTTTTTGTTCTGAAAAAACGTACTGAAATTATTGTGTTATCAGTAAAGTTTGATTGGGGCCCTTAAAATCCCAGCGATAGCAGTGTGGGAATGGATGAATTGCTTATTTTAATTAGTAATTAAATTAGGTAGCATCAGTGACTCCTAGAATAACATGGAGGCCACAGTCTCAGAAGCCGCTCTGCAGACCCCTGAAGGGCGAGTTGAACACCTCAGCAAGGCTCGTCCTCCCACCCTGGGACAAGCCACACCCTCTCGTTTCTTGCCAGTTAAGCTCATGGGTTGGTTTTGAGTTGGAGTTTACAGATTTTTTAAACGCTGCATTCACAAAATGAGAGGTTTCTCAGTTAAAACGCTGATAGAGTACACTTCTGCCAGCATTGGTGGCGGGGGTCCAGAACACTGGCGAGTACAGACTCTGAAGAGACACAGAGCAACTTCACTGTGGTTTCAATACATACTTTAAAGGGACAGTGCCAAGTGGCCCAAGCTTTAGTGCCACTTTCCTGGTTTGAGGAAGAAAAATATCTTTCTGTGTGTGTTTTAGGACAAACATTCTTTATCCTCGTGTTATGGAAGTGTCGAGTCTATGTCTCTTTGGGATATGGCGCCACCTAGTGTTCACTGGTATAATGCCAGGTACTGGTGGTGTCTACACCAGGAGAACCGGTATATTTCATTCCTTTGGTTCTTTTAATTGTAGAAAATTCTAGTAACTGCACATTAACTATACTTTTTAAAGTCATAGAATTTGAGAACTTTTCTCAGCGTAGCAGTGATATGGCAGCCAGTTTTGTTCTTAGATGAGTGTTCAAGTACAAGCCTCTCCAGAAAGTCTTTCAAAGACATTTGTCTATAGACTCAGAGTGAGGAAGAATGAGAAGATTTTGTAGAAATGTCATAACCAGAAATAGGAATGACGTTAATATATTAGTGTGTTTCAGAATTTCACACAAGAAAGGATGCAGTAAGAATGAGAACCCTTTGAGAGGCTGAGGCAGGCGGATCATGACATCAGGAGATTGAGACCATCCTGGTCAACCTGGTGAAACCCTGTCTCTACTAAAACAAAAAATTTGCTGGACATGGTGGTGCACGCTTGTAGTCCCAGCTACTTGGGAGGCTGAGGCAGGGGAATCACTTGAACCCAGGAGACAAAGGTTGCAGTGAGCCAAGATTGCGCCACTGCGCTCCAGCCTGGTGACAGAACAAGACTCCGTCCTAGAGAGGAAAAAGAAAAGAGAGAGAACTACGTGACATTCATCAGTGTTAAAACTGAATGGGCGAGAAAGAAGAGTCCACCTGGGAGGAACATGAGGTCATCAGTGCTGTGCCTTCCTCTTGGGAGAGGGAAGAGACAGGTCTCTGTCAGCCTCTGGGAACCAGCACCATTCTTGTTGAGAAACTGTGACCCTCTGCTTCCCAGACTGAACCCAGATTAACCGATAGGATCAGGAAATAAGTTCGTCATAACTTCTCAGGCCTTTTTGCTTAATTATATTGATTTCCCTGTTGCTGGGATCTGCCTAAAGTTGTGTTAAGAAGGAGAAATAAATTTCGTATTCTGTAATAAACCCTGTGGAATAAGAAACATTCCTCATGAGAGCATAGAGTTTACAGTCACTCATTAAATATAACTGTTTCTCTGTGTTGATTCTCAATAAAATAAGGTGAATGATAGTAAAGCCAGCACTGGGTGTGGGCGAGGGACTCATGGTGCTGGCATTGAGACTGCCTGCCGTGCTTCCTTTTGATGCTTGGTCATTTCTTCCAGCAGTCCTTTCAGACTCGGGGTGGGACAGCCAGCCCTGGTCAGCTCGCCCTTCAGAACTCAGCAGGCCACAGTGGCAAGAGGCTGGGCTTTGAGAGGAGACTTGGGGTTCGGTTCTGAGCTTACCATTTCTTGGTTGGTGTCTTAACTCTCGGGTAGACTGCTTCACCTTCGTGAGCTTCTGCTGACATGAAAGGAGCTGCCCAGCTCTCACATGGCAGGTGTTAAATGAGAGGATCTCTGTGGTGGCCGGTAGCCTGGTCCCTTCCACAGAGCAGACACTCAGGGATGCCAGGTTCCTTTTTCCTGCAAGTCAGATTCTCATCCATCAGAGCCGAGCACCTCTGGGCGGAGCAGTCGAATAGCAGTCGAATAGCAGATCACTCATTTTGCAGACACTGCACCCCAGAGTGCAGTTTATCTTGAGATGAAGTCCCCTGAAGCTCCTGCTTGTGGAGGGATTCTTGTGATGGTAGAATGGTGACTCTTAGGGGCCGTCTGCCCCCTGGTTACCCACTAGATGTGCCTGCATAAGGCAGGTCTAATGAGCACAGATGATTTTGTCACCTACTTCTAATGTCAAAGGTGAGATTCACGTCTGATTTACTTAGCATAGGATTCCTTGATGTTGGAGAAAATCAGTGTGGGCCTTTTTTCCCACAGTTTCCCATTTCACATAAATAGACAAGTTCTACCTGGTAGATGTTGAAGGAATGAATAGCAGTCTTGTGTGTGTGCACGCACGTGTGCATGTGTGACAGACACAGGACTCGTTCTGTCACCCATGCTGGAGTGGAGTGGTGCAATCATAGCTCACTGCGGCTGCACTCTCCTGGGGCGAAGCAGGCCTCCTGCCAGGACTTCCGTAGCCAGGACTACAGGTGCATGCCACCACGCCCAGTTAGTGTTTAGGTTTTTTTAAGCAGTCAGAGTCTCTCTGTGTTGCCCAGGTTGGTCTCAAACTTGTGGCTTTAAGCACTTCTCCTGCTTTGGCCTTCCAGAGCACTGGAACTACGTGAGCCACCGCACCCAGCCTGTAGTAGTCATTTTTAAAGAAATGAAGTAACAAGGCTGTAGTTGTGATTATATTCCACCAGAAAAGAACTTGTCTATTTATGTGAAATAGTAAATAGTTTTGAGCCACGTGGGAAACTGGGGGGAAAAGGCCCACACTGATTTTCTGGCGTTGGTTATGGCCTGGCCTGGGTCTACGCTGCAGAGGCATGGGCTAGCCTCCTCACAGCTTGTTGATGGATGAGGATGCAGAGTTGAGAGGCTGGGAAGCAGTTATCTTTATGCACGCATGCACCCACGTGACCACAGCTGTGCACAGACTCTTCCTCAAAAGAGCAAGAGCTTTTCTTTTCATGGGGAAAAGAGGCTAAGGTTCTGAACAGCATGGAAGCTTTTCGCTTCCAGGCGGTGCAGCCGTGCACTCGGTCAGATGGTTCTCGGTGGGGATGTTGGGTGCAGATGCAAGAAGTTGCCAGCTGAAGGGGATTCTTTTAACTTGCATTTGCTACATACGGATAGTAGCCTAGTGAGCTCTCCTCTGAAGTTGTCTCTGAAAAATGAAAAGCCGATCAGAGTGAGAGTTGGTGTGGCAGCGTTTTCCCTCCCCCTGCCAGTACGGTATTGTGGCTGCAGGTGACCTGCTCAAGGAGGTCTATCAGTGTGGAGACCGGAGACAGTGTAACTTTTGGTTTGTTCTGGGTGAAGGTTTAAACTCTATGATAATGTGTTGCTGAGTTGTGTAGACGTGTATATTTTCACAGTGGAAGCTGGCGACCATGTCTTTAAGCTTTCACTGGGAAGTTTCTTTTCCTCTGCTCCTAATAAATGGCGAGTATTTGTCATTTTGGTAGGTCAAAAATGGTTGAATATTGACAGTTTCTCCAGTTTGATTTTGTATCTAGAAAACATGGTTTATTTCTGAAAGAAGGTACAAACATATAAATAGAGAGGGCAGACAGGAAGCCAGTTTTAGGATCGCACGCTTGTTAATGGTGTTGAGCGAGTACCCCGTCATTCCTCTGATTGAAGAATCTCAGTGAAAGTTAGTGCTTCCTTGACTGATAGTTCCTCAGTCAGATTGAGGTTTTTAAACTACATTGATTACGAGTAAACAAACCTGATACCGAGTATTGTACAACTGGCAGCCCGATGCCCTCATTTCACACGGTGAAATCGCCCAAAGGCAATGAAATCACCACATAAATCTAGAAATGTTCTTTCCCCAAAAGAACAGCATGATAGAGACAGGGTCTCCGTCACCCAGGCTGCAGTGCAATGAGGTATGTGATCCTGTGATCATGATTCACTGCAACCTCTACCTCCTGGGCTCAGGGGGTCCTTCCGCCTCAGCCTTCTGAGCACCTGGGCCGAGAGGAGTGCACCACTGCGCCTGGCTCATCTTTAAATTTTTTTGTAGAGATAGGTTCTTGCTTGAGTATATGGTATTTTCCAATCCAGATCCTATGAGTTGCAGAATGTTGATAATTGTTTTCTGATATATGAAATTAGTTTTCCTTATCCATTCCTAATGGGGGCATTTTTATATTTTTAGACAAGTTAAGTTTAGAGAAGATCCGTTATTGTAGTTCTCACAGTAAGCTCCACCACAGTATTGGCAGCTGTTACGTGAAGCTTTTTTGGTCATTTTTGGGCATTGCTTAAACCCCTCAGGACCCTGCAGCACTGAGCGCGCTAGTGCTGCTGCTGGAAGAACGGAGAGAGCCCCAGAGGCATGGCGGCAGCAGCGGGGCCGGCTAGGGTGGGCAGGTGACTCTCACTCTACACGACCCCTTATCAGGGAACAGGACAGACAGTGGTTTCGGTGACTGAATATCAGTCACAGGCTCATACACAAAAGGGGTGCATGCTGAAAGATGAGTCTGGCAGATTGGGAGAGAAAACAGGTCCCTGTCAAGAAATACAGGCGCAGTTTCGAAGTCCAGAAAACCATATTGCAAGCCATATTGCTGAGGATGTATCCAAGAGACCACTTTGCGGGGCTTACTTCTCCTGTTAGCTTCCTGACAAGTGAAGCTGTCAAGTTTCCTTTGCTTTCATCTTTTATTTCAGAAAGAAGGGAGAAAGTCTGATATTTTACTGAACTTGTTTCAGAAAAACACAGACCAATTCCCTTGCCGCCCCGCGGGCTGCCTCATTGCTGGCCTGTGTCAGGGATGTCTCCAGACCAGGCTTGCTGCTCCTGGGGTAGCCTGTGTGCGGGCCTTCTTGATGCCCTTGGATTTGGAGACTTGAACCTTTCTGTGTATTTCTGTGGAAACGCTGTTAGAAAAGCACTGGAAGACAGCTTTTTCGGAAGTGTTTGAGTATTCTTTCAGAGCTCTGCGAGTCTTGTTTACTGATAGATGTTCTGTGGTTATTAAATGGAGAACAGTTACTTCGTATACAGTGGAACTGTTTAAACACTTTCCAGGTCATTGATGTTTTTAGCTGTTTGCTTCCATTGTAGCTCTTTAACAAATGCTTTAAAATGAAATGGCCACATGTGCCTCCATGTTTTCAAGGGGTCACGGTTGCTGGTAGTTATTTTCTCTGGCTATTCTGTTTCACTGAACAGAAACTTAGACACAGCAAATAGTTTCTAGCCACCAAAAGTGCCTGTTGAGTGCAGTTCCTCAGGACAGTGTTAGCTGGTGCTCATGCCAGGAGCTGCCCAGTGACTCCTGCTCTTAGAAGAGTCAGGGGCACTGGGCAGGGGGGCTCACACCTGTAATCCCAGCACTTTGGGAGGCTGAGGTGGGTGGATCACGAGGTTAGGAGTTTGAGACCAGCCTGGCCAACATAGTGAAACCTTGTCTCTACTAAAATTACAAAAATATAGCTGGACATGGTGGCACATGCCTGTAGTTCCAGCAACTTGGGAGGCTGAGGCAGGAGAATCACTTGAACCTCGGAGGTGGAGGTTGCTGTGAGCCAAGATTGTACCACTGTACTCTAGCCCAGGTGACAGTGTGAGACTCTGTCTCAAAAATAAACAAACAAACAAATAAATAAATAAGGCAGGGGAGGGGGGCACCTGTGCGTGCTCCAGACAGTAGGCACTAAGTTGGCTATGTCCTGAAGTAATTATGAGAAGGACCAGACTCTGGAGCTGTGAGTTGCTCAGCATTCAGAGCGCGGCCTGACAGATCAGTGATTGCTGTGCTCTCTTCCTGCCCCTCCCAGCCCTAGATCCTAAAGCTAAAGACTTAAGAAAGCAGAAAGCAGCTCCCATCTGCCTCAGACAGCAGATTCAAGGACTAAATGGAAGTGACGCTTTTCGGACACTTTGTAAATCTCGACTGGATTCATGGTTTCTTTCGGCCGATCTTAAATTCATTTCTTTTTCACCGGCATTGTTGTTTCAGGCCAGTGAGTGGTGGCTCCCTGGGAACTCCTGAAGATTTCATCTCAGATACCATTGTTTAAGACTGGTGATCACAGACTCTAAAGTACAAAATGTGACCACATTATGCTGAGAGCAGCCCCAGGCACCACTGCCCTCACAGTGACCCAGCTGGATGCACAGAGATAGTAGAATAGGGGCCACTGCCTGCTGTGGACTGTACTAAACAGTTTCCTCTGGTGTGATGAGTCCTGTTCTTAAAAAGAATCGTGGGAGCCCCTATTAAAAAATCCCCTGATAAGAAGGCGTGAAGAGAGGAGCTGCCTCTGTCCAGGGGTGTCTGCTGCCAGGCCTCACGGAGAAGGTTGGGCAGCTGATGTGGCCAGATGATGGCAGGTCTTAAACTAAGCTTGGAAGATGTAAGTGTTGCTCTCGGGAGTGATTTACTAAGCGCTGTTTGGAGTAGAGTATCTTAATAGTAAGAGAAGTTGCCAGGGAGAGAGGAAAATCAGTGTGCTTATTCCAGGTGCCCGCCTGGACTCATTTTGTGTTAAAGCTAGTAATGTATAAACATACACGTTCATATTTTTTGTTGTCATTTACAACTGATATTAAAATGTTGGTTTTCTTTCTCCAGAGTTTACAGATGCTTCCCCAGCAGCGGAAAGCTATAGCTAAGTTCAAGGAGCCAGCCCATGCGCTAGCGTTCCAGCAGAAGTTCCACAGGTGACCGGTGTGCCTGGGCTTTGGTGATGTGGGGCGGGAGTGAGGGCCTCCTTCCTGTGCTCTCCCATCTGTCACGGTAGCAAGCATGTGTCCCCGCCTGTCCCCGTAGAGGGACACCAGGGCGCAAAGCGCAGATGGGGTCCTGTTGTGAGGCGTGCGTTCCTTTTGCCGGGTGAAGGGTCGCCCTTGCCAGGGAATCGGCCTGTTTGGATGATGGGTTTTTATTAAAAAGGACCCAGTCCCCTTTAGTTTCTCCCACCTTGGTAATTGAATGTCAATGGTTTCTTTAAATTTTCACAGGCATATGATAGATTTGTCCCACATAAATGTGGCCCTGATCGTGGAATGATTCCTCACAAGACAGCCTGACCTTAAGCTGTACACACACTGTGGGATTTCTTCAAGGAAGCTGCCAGCCGGCGCACAGGTCTCCCGGGCCGCAGTCCCGCGTTAGTGTTGTCCAGGGCGCCAGCCGGCCCCGGCGTTGATTCCAGAGGAGCCGACCTGACAGGACACAGCAGGCTGGAGCTGGTGTTAGGTTGCTTCACATTCTGTTGTCACCACCAAGAACTCCCAAGTTTTTCGTTTTCTTTTGTTTTCGAAGTGCTTACAATGCATGTAGACGTTGTTCTTTGTGATCTGACTCTATGATTGATCACAGTGACTTAGATTCAGGAAAGAACATTAACGTCACAAATTCTAAGTATTTTTCACAGCAGAGAATATTTGATAATGGTTGCACTTATCTTCAGTGCAGGCTAGAAGAGTCTTCTCAACCAAGCAGAACTCGAGTTGTCTTCTCAGCCCTCAAAAGGCTCTTGTAAAAAACGTAGATTAAAATTTGGGTTGATTGTTGATTGACCTTTGCATATCCTGGAAAGCCAGGGTATGAGTGGGGTGGTTGGGAATGGTGCCAATTGAACAGCAGATTCTGCTTCTTGTCACTATTTCAAAAGCGTCAACTCTGTTCCTAGTTTCGATGAACTCCCCATTCATTTTTAGCGCACCTCCCAGATAATGCAACGTGCTGGACAGGCACATGGTCTGGCCCTTGGCTAGAGCAGGGGTCTGTGATGACCTCATCCGGCAGCCCTCTGGCCTAGTCCCACCACATGAGGTGGAGGAACGGCTTGAAGGTGGAACAGACCTGTCTGTTTTTTTTTCTTTTTAAATGCAGCAAGGTGGCCTGTTTGTCACTGGCTCTGTGATACATGACATTCCTTGGGAGTTTGGTGGCCATTGCTTTAGTCACTTCTGTTTTTCTGAAGGCCATTGTGGCAGGCCGCCCTGTCCATCAGCAGAGGTTCACTCTGGCCTGCCATTCCCCATGGCGTGCAGGGTGAGGGTGGCTTTCTTCCAGGGACAGCATAGCCCCAAATGAGACGGGTTTGTGTCATTACTGAAACTGCTTTTCGTAATTGTGGGTAGGTTCCTGTAGGTGAGACATACTCTCCATGAAGCCACTGTAGTAGAATTCATTCTGGGCAAACACTGGAAAAAGTGCCTTAACTGTATTTCCGCTCATGAACAAGTTTCACTATTTTGGATATATTCTAAAGTGGTCCTGAGCTATTTGAGCAAATAATGCTAGGGCATGCTCAGACATTTTATACCTACGATTTCATGTCACATTTACCAATAGAATTAAGGAAAATAGAAGAAGCCTGTTCTTTCTTGCTGCCCTGGAGGGAGCACGGCCCTAGGGCTGTCAGCCTCCTAGAAGGAAGGGACTCAGGAGATGGGCATAGACCTGCGTCACCTTGTTTCTACAGGTGACATTTTGTTTCACTTCCTCAAGCTACCAAAACAATCTGAAGAGCTGAAGAAGGTCTTCGGACCCGGCAAGCTTTTCTGTAGCAGTGATTCTAAAGTGGCATTTGCTGTGTGCTTGAGAGTAACACTGCACGCTGCAGGGGCTGCGGCCCACAGTCCCAGGAAGCTGCAGCACTTGTAGGACCTGCTAGGACCCTGCAGCTGTGCCACCGCCACCTCTGACCCAGAGTGCCCCAGCCAGCCCTGGAAGATGGGACTGTCTGTCAGCCCCGCCTCACTAAGCCTGCAGAGGCCATCCAGGCGGCAGGTCTGTGTGCCCATCAGTGGGTTCACACGGCTGTCACTGCCCCTCATTTCCATAGTGAGATGCGGATGTGTTTATGTATTTGGTGTAGTTTATTTGGCTCAGTCCACAGCTGTGTTGGAGTGGTGAGTTTGGTAGCCTTGAGCTCTAATGAAGAGAGACCCTGACCACTTGGGACCCACTGGGCAGTGGGAAGGCTTCCCGACTCCCTTTGTCACTGAGGGCTTACTGACACAATGAAATGAGTTTAATGACTTTTTTTTTTAACCACTTTTTCAACTAGTCTTGAGTGTGCTGTATTTAAAACCAAATATCTGTGTGTTGTCTCTGAGACGTAGGCATTAGAATATCCTTTTTTGCAGTCAGTGTTAATAAAACTGGTCCTGTTTGGGCACCCATTCTTCAAGACAGACTTCACGGCCACTGGAAGGTCTGCTCTGGTGCTCCCTGAGTAAAACACAGGCAGTGGGGTGTGCGTGTTTCTCTAACCATCTACACATGCACACAGGCAGTCTTTCTCCTCATAGAATGTTCTAGAAAGGTGATTGACAGAGTCATCCGGGCCAGCCTTAAAGCGCTGGTTAGAACAGCCCAGCACAGACCGACCTCTCTCAACACCCACAACCACTGAAAATGGATTCTTAGTACCAGACAATCCCAGTAATGAAGGTTTAGTTTCCTCAAAGGAAACTACAGAAAAAGAAAGAAGCAGAATTAGAAAGCCATGCACCTTACAGGTGTGGTGTGCTGCTCACGGTGAAGCCAGACCACACCAGCCAGACCCTCCTGGAAGATCTGCTGCAACCATTATCTTTGTTCTTGATTCATCATGCATTTAAAATGAGATGCAAGAGCATTTAGCATACAATGTAAATACAGACTTTTTAAACTGTTATTGGAAATGCTTTCAACTCAGCAACATCCTAGCTATCAGTTCTTCTGTGTTGTCCTATGAAAGTTTAATGGATACAGTTCCACAGTTGTTGATGTGTTGTGTGTATATTCGATTTTTATAAAGATGGTAGTAAGCCAATACGTTTACCCTGATCTGTGTATCATTTGTTCACAAGTTCAAGAAGCTTAAAGGTCGTAAATATTAGCATATCTCATACGGTAAACCAGCAGCTGATGATGTGGAGCCAAGTTACTTTTCTTTTTGCGTTACCTTGTTTTGATTTTGTGCTGTAATAGAAGTTCACTTAGCTGCTTACTGGAAGGTAACCTTACATTACCACTGGTCGGGCCACGCTTGTTAAACCCTTATACTGATATTCTTCTGAAGAGGAAATCTCATCATTCTTCCAGACAAATTTTGAGGGGTTTCTCCACTTTCCAGACAGGCAGCAGCCTCCACAGGTGCCTGCACCCTTCCTTGCTGGAGGAGATGGGATGGGGCGGGAGGTGGCTTCACCGTAACTATTTTTAATACGGGTCATTCCTAGCATGATTTGTGAAGGTCTCAGACAAACAGTTGTTGCAGCTTGCTTCTGTAGCACTTCTGAATTGTGACAGAGCTTAGATCCTGTACCCAGGGGTCTTTTTTTTTCAAATAGCATCTTGCTCAGTTCTGTGAACAGAAGGCTTTGGTACTGAAGAAAGTGGAGGAGGAGTTTAGGGTGAAGAGGAGGCCGAAGGGATGGGCAGACCCAGGTGAGGAGAGGCTCGAGGATGGGGGAAGCTGTCATCTCAGTGTTAATAGTAAACTTTCTTCTAACACTGGCTCCTCAGGGGAGGTCATCCAGTCGGGCCAAGTTGAGAGCCCTTGGGCCACACTGAATGGCCTGGAGGCATGGGGAAAGGGAGCGTCTTCACTGGGTGGTGGTCAGCTGGGGAAGGACAGGTAGGGCAGGTAAAGGACACCCGAGGCCCTGGAGCCTTTGTCCTAGGATGGGTTCTAAGAACTCATCACTTTTGTTTTCTTTTGGCTTTTGTTGTTTTTGTTTTGTTCTGCTTTGCGTTTCTTCGTTGTTTCATTGGGAAGGTAAGCCGAATGCACTCCTGGGCCATCGGACTGGCGCTTGTTGAAGGCAGGTTCTAGTCAGGTAACGGCATGGGACAAGGAGGTCAGAGTGTGTGGTGGGGCGGCAGTGTTGCTGAGCCAGCACATTTTGGAGCCCTAGAAACTCTAGTCCCTGTGACTGTCCCTCCTCTGCTCTCTGGCTGGAGAGGACTGCCAGCTGTCAAGAAACATTCCCGGTGCGGGCTCCGGAGCGCCCTTCTTGGGTGACTTTGGGCCTCCCGCTTTTACGTTGCTCCTCCTGGGGTTCGTGTTTTTCCTGCCTCCCTCCCTGCTTGTAGGCCTCAGCTCTGGCTTCGCAGCATCGCGTTTAGACCCAGTGGGCCTCCCTTCATTTAGCTCTGACCATCCACCCCATTTTTTTTTTTTTAATTTGGAGGGAGGCGGGGTGGGAGAGAGAAAACTTGAAAGGTATTGTTGATTCTTCAGGAAATTACAGGTGACGATTCTACAAGGGAACCGACTGATGGGAGGGGGTGCAGGATAGGAAGGATCAGAGACACCCCACTACCAGCACTCGGAAAGCCCCAAGTCCAGATCAACTAGGGAAAGGCTTAGATACTTGATGTGAGGAGCATTTCAGTCAACTTTTTCAACTATTTCTAAAGTTGGCGAATGGAGTGTTGTTTTGGACATTCTTAAAAATGAATTTAGCCTCCAAAGGCATTTAGCCTTGACTTCATATTAAATCCTAAGGATTTTATGTAAGGTTTTTTTGCAACCTACTGAATTTTTTTAAATGGTAGCTTCTGAGGTGCATAAGCCTGTGGTTTGTGTACTGGAACCAAAGCGGAACTCACGGATTCATATTGGATCCCCAGGTATACCTCCTGCTGGTAGCATATGGCTGGAAAGGCCGTTGGCCTCACGCGTTGTAAGCCGCCTTGGCTAGGAAGTGCTCTGAACGCCTCCACTCTCCCTTTTCTGTGTCGTGTTCTGGTAGGAAGTCTTTACGATTGGCGGACGGACAGGTATCGGAGCGAGACTTTCCTTCAGTACCGGCTTTTTCCTTTACTGCTAACCGACTAAAAGACAAGGAAGTCTTCATGTTAGTATTTTGCTTGGTTTTATTTTACTGATTTTAAAAGGTATTTAGAAAAATGCAGGGCCTTCAAAAAGAAACGTAGTTTTTAATTTTAGTATGTGCCACAGAGTGGATAGGCAGACAGGTTGTATTGTAAAGTATTCTGTATTTAATAATTTAGTATACTCTAGAAGGTCATCCTTGTGCCTTCTTTTAGCATGGTTTTCTTTTAAACTGCTTTTCATTTTAAGGGCACCTATAGCGGAAGCTGATTTTTCAAGGACTGTTTGAGTCGTATGCATTCTGTAGCGTTTTCTTAGGTGTAACGTTTTTAATAATGTGCGCGCACAGCACACAGCGGTGCCCTGAACGGCAGGAGCACGTCGTCACTCGTTTCTATAATTCAGCTTTGCTTTTCACAGGCAATGGGATCCAGGATGGTTTCCTCTGTGAGGACTGGAACTCTTGGGCTTTAATTCCACTTTTTAATTTGCAGGTACCACAGCGACAAAGCACAGAGTCTGACCTTTTTCATGTTTGAGCTGATTCTGTTTGTTTGCTGGACATTTCTACGTTCTTCTTGCTACTGTCATTTAGTAATGGCACCGCCTCGCCATGCCATGCTCTGGGCTCTCCCTGTCTATTTCTGTTTTGCTTTCCTGGCTAAATCCATCTACCATTCGTAACACCAGTAGCTCCTGTCCCACTCCGAGACTCTCTCTCTGACTTTCCCATCTCCCTCGCTTTGCACGCTCCTTTCCCTCCGCCTGTTGGCTGCACACTCGGTGAGGGCTGCATTCCTGCCACTCCGCCCCGCATCCGTCCGCCCGCGTGGAGACTGCAGGCAGGCTGGGAGGGAAAGTGCTGACCGTTCTCACCCTTGTTTACAACCTGCTCACCTCTCAACCTTTGCTTTGACAGGTCTTTACTCACGGTTCATTCCTCCAGGTCTGATTGGAGAGAGTAACATTTTAATTCTGTTGTTTTGCAGTTTGGCTCTGCAGGAGTGAGTGCCGAGTCAAAGATGCCGGCGTCCGCAGCGTGCGGTTCGTTCCCCTAACCACCTGCTTCTTTGTTTCCCACCCCTCTGCTTTCGCAGGAGCTCTTGTGCATGAGTTCAGTGTTAGTAGTAGCGTGGCTCACTCCGCTTGGAGGTGGCGGCCGTCTGACCGACGGGGCCTCCCGCCCTGATGCGTGTGCACTCTGCGGGCTGCACCGGGTGGCTCTGGTTGGGGGCGAAGCCATGTTGACTGGGAGAGCGTTGGAAATTCAGACATCGAGCGATGACGGGAGAGCGTGTCTCTGGGTTTGATCTCCGTCTGTTTTCTCAGACACACTGCACTTAACTTGTGGGAATGCCGTTGCCTGTCCACCCTTTGTTCACTTTGCTTAACTGCTGTGGTAGCTTTTCCAGGCTCTATGTGAAGAATGGTAATGACGTAGTTGAAAAGAAAATGTACTGTTGTGTGTATCGTTTGTGTGATTTCATACCAGAAATGTGTTTGATCTATACTGTATGTAATTTGGAAGTCGTGTTAATAAAACCTTGCAGTTTCCACTCTGGTTCCGTGGCCTTCATTTTATCTCGGCCCTCAGGTCGGCCTGCAGCGTCTTACCCGTGTGTCCGAGATGGTGCTGTTGCCCCTCTGGGAGGGGTGGGGGGGTGCCCTCACGCTCCCCAGATTGGCCCCTGGGCGGCAACCCTCTGCTTTCACGCACCTGTCTCATTAGTGGGCCCCCGAAGGCCCAGGGAGCCACCACCCGTCACCTGTATTCTGGGCACTGCACGACTCCCAGCTGGCTGGGCAGACGGCAGCAGAGTGCATGCTCCCTTTTGTTAGGGATGGGGGAGTTAGTCTTCTTTTTAGTTTTTTAAAGCATTACAGATACTTTTTATGATTTCTCAGAAGAGATTTGTATTCCAGCATGACAATGAGAGGCTGAAGATGGGGAGACTCAGCCCCCCCACCCCGCCCCGTCCCCGTGATGCGGCTCTTCCTTGGTGCTGTGTGTGGTGTCATCACAGTGCACGTCCGATTGTGTATATTTCCCATTTCATGTAGCCCACGCGGTTTTCATGTTGCTAGAAATTGCTCATAATTTATGGTCTATTTTGAAAATGAAGTCTTCAAAAAGAAGACAGCTCAGCTTCCAGAAACCACCATTAAAGGAACCATTCAAGGACAAGATGCCCCGTCACACCCCCACTCTGCACTGTGGTGGGCCGGCTTCCCTTCCCACCTGGATGCTGGTGTTGGTGTCTGCTGGGTTTCAGGGGGCGGTGGTGACCAGCTCCACTCCCACCCTTCACCTGCAGCACCCACTCCTTTCTTCTGTATAAATGGGACCACCGTTCTCAGTGCCGTTTCCTTTGGTCCCTTGAGTTATGGAAGGTGTGAGGCTCCCCTGACATGCCTCTGTCATCCTTCATGGAACAGCCTGTGGGTCAACAGCTATGACGGTCGAAGCAGATTGGGACATGGTGGTGCCCTTTCTGTTGTTGCCCTGGGTCAGGCTGCTGTGTAGGGCTTGACAGAGCCACCGTCAAAACCCTGGGGAAGAGCACAGCCGCCGCCGCAGCAGCACTGTCAGCAATGTGGGAGGGTATGTGCGAGGTTCCGGCTGCTTAGTCCTGAGAGCAGGTTTCACAGGTCTCAGTGGCTGGCCTTTCCCGGGGCTGGACGCTGTGCAGGCAGGCGCCCGCGCGGGCAGCTCACACAGCCATTCTTCGTGCCCTTCACCTCTGCTCAATGCACATGTGAGCTAATGACATGCAGATGGGTGCCTTCCACAAGCAGGGTGACCTGCAGTGGGCAGACGGTGGCTACTTTCAAAGATACTTATCACCCTGTTCTCCCCACATTTTATCACCTCGTTCTCTGGGTTCGTAAAGATGGAAAGTGCCTTAGTTTGGACCTAAGTAAGGAAAAAAGAAAGCAGGAGAAGAGGCAGATTTGGGAGATGGAAATAGAGGGAGCAGCAGTGGGTAAGGAAAGCAAATATGTCTGGTGAATTTCTCACTTCCGGTTTCATTGAGTTTTTAAGCCTAAATCATAATCTTAAAATGCCATGTGATTAAAGCCCAAAGCAATTTCTTCCACTTTAATCCATAGTCCAGGAATAAGTCATTCTTTGTTTAAAACCTGGACTTTGGGTAACAGGAGCTCTACAGAAAATGGGCGAAAAACGCCTTGATGTTTCAGGGAGAAAACGGGGCTTTCTTTGATTAAGGGCACACTGAAGAGTGGCAGCTCCTTGAAGAAAGCATTGTCAGTTTCCCATCGTTGCCGCTGAGCAGTGCTGGAGGTCTTGGTTTGTATTTACTTAGTGCAGCCAGTTACATGAGGCAGTGTATTTGCGGCAGGCCCAGACTCAGGAGGTTTGGAAGTGGTTCAGGGGTCTGGTCTGATCACTCCTGTTAAAACACGGCGGCTGAGTCCTGAAATCTTACCCTTGGTGGTGTCTGCTTCTCTTACTTGGAGCGCAGGGGTGCAGTCACGGCTCGATGTAGCCTTGACTTCCTGGGTTCAGCTGATCCTCTTACCTCAGCTTCCCCAGTAGCTGGGACTACAAGCGTTTGCCACCGTGCCTGGCTAGTTTTTAATATGTTTAATAGAGATGGGGTTTCGCATGTTTGCCCAGGCTGGTCTTGAACTCCTGAGCTCAAGGGATCCACCTGCCTTGGCCCCTTAAAGTGCTGGGGTGACAGGCGTGGGTCACTGTGCCCGGCCCTTATTCTGCTCTTAAAGAGCAGAGGCACCTCCAGTGCTACTCCTGGCTTAGGCTTCCTGTCTGGCCCTTACGTTGGCAATTTGCATCTCAGTCACCACAGGCAGGCTGTGCCCCGGCTTCCCAGGATGGCCGTGCCCCCGAGATGACAGCACTGGCCTCACTAGGGAGCCACGGATGGCAACCATTCAATGATGTCATGTGAAGCTTCCTGAAACTCTCTCCCGTTAGTTTTCAGATTAATGAAGTGAAAACGGTTATTTAACAAAATTAATAGATTAAAATCCTGGTTCTTAGGGGGAAAATCAATAAAATAGACAATCGACTAGCTAGGAAAAAAGGAGAACATACAAATAAAAAGAAATGCAAGGAGGGAATTACTATTGATAAAAAGGACTTTTTAAACACTGTAAAACGTATGTAACATCAAATTACATAAAACATTTGTAACATGAAAATTATACATCAGTATGTATAATTGTAGTGCTCAGTGTCCAGGTCTCTTGGTTACATTATGTATATTCACATGGCTGTACAGCGTCCCCACCATCCATCTCCAGAACCTTTTCATCTTACAGAACTGACACTCTCCCCATGAAACACAAGCTCCCCGTCCCACTTCCCCCAGGCCCCAGCACCTGCCACCACCACTTTCTGCCTCTGAATTTAACGACACTAAGTGCCTCCCGTGGGTGGGATTTTATGGTACTTGTCCTTTTGTGACTGGCCTGTTTCACTTGGCACGATGTCCTCAAGGTCCTTCGTGTGGCAGCCTGCGTCAGGATTCCCTTCTTTGCAAAGCAGAGTCATAGTCCATTACAAACAGCGCATTTGTTGGCCGCTCACCCATCAGTGGGCGCTTGGGTGGCTTCTGCTATTGACAGTGACGAGTGCCGCTGTGAACACTCATGTGCACACGTCTTTTCAAGGCCCTGCTTCCAATTCTTCTGTGTCTATATGGTGGCGTGGGAATGCTGGGTCCCACAGCAGTTCTAGGGTTGTTTGAGGAAGTGTCATCCTGTCAACATTGGACATCCCCACCAACAGTGCTCAGGGGTTCCCTCCCCTTCGCCATGTCTTCACCAACACGTGCTATTTTATGTTTATTTGGTTTTCTGTGTCACAGCCACCCTAATGGGTGTAGGGGGTGTCTCCTTGTGCTTTGAGCTGCATTTCCCTAACGGTTAGTGAGGTGGAGCATCTTCTCATACGCTTGTTGGTCATTTGTGTATCTTCTGGGGAGAAACACCTAGTCAAGTGCTTTGCCCATAAGAGGGATTATTTTTTAAGCAAGAAAAGACTGCTTTGTAGATCTTTGTGCAGATAATTTAAAAACCTACATGATTGTTTCTTAGGATAAATAGTGTACTAATATCAACTGCTGTGGAGATCTAAAGCTTATACCAGTCAGTTGCCACAGAAAAAGACAATGTACCAAAACCCGGCAGAGACTCAACAAAAAAAAGGAAAACTTCAGGCCAATCTCCATGATGAACATAGATGCAAAAATCTTCAATAAAATACTGGCACACCGATTGCAACAGTGCATCAAAAAGCTTATTCATCATGATCAAGTAGGATTCATCCCAGGGATGCAAGGCTGGTTCAACATACGCAAGTCTATAAACGTAATTCACCACATAAACAGAACCAAAGGAAAAAACCACATGATTATCTCAATAGATGCAGAGAAGGCCTTCAACAGAATTCAACAGCCCTTTATGCTAAAAAGTCTCAATAAACTAGGTATCAAAGGAAGATATCTCAAAACAATAAAAGCTATTTACGACAAACCTACAGCCAATATCATACTGAATGGGCAAAAACTGGAAGCATTTCCTTTGAAATCTGGCACTAGACAAGGATGCCCTCTCTCACCACTCCTATTCAATGTAGTACTGGAAGTTCTAGCCAGAGCAATCGGGCAAGAAAAAGAAATAAAGGGTATTCAAATAGGAAAGGAGGAAGCCAAACTTTCTCTATTTGCAGATGACATGATTGTATATTTAGAAGACCCCATCATCTCACCCCCAAATCTTCTTAAACTGATAAGCAACTTCAGCAAAGTCTCAGGATACAAAATCAATGTGCAGAAATCACAAACATTTCTATACACCAATAACGGACTAACAGAGCCAAGTCATGAGCGAACTCCCATTCACAATTGCTACAAATAGAATAAAATACCTACGAATTCAATTAACAAAGGATGTAAAGGACCTCTTCAAGGAGAACTACAAACCACTGCTCAATGAAATAAGAGAGGACACAAACTGATGGAGAAACATTCCACGCTCATGGTTAGGAAGAATCAATATCGTGAAAATGGTCATACTGCCCAAAGTAATTTATAGATCCAATGCTATCCCTATCAAGCTACCAATGACCTTCTTCACAGGACTGGAAAAAAAAAAAAAAAACCCTTAAACTTCATATGGAACCAAAAGAGAGCCCATATAGCCAAGACAATCCTAAGCAAAGCGCACAAAGCTGGAGGCATCATGCTACCTGATTTCAAACAATACTACAAGGCTACAGTAATAAAAACAGCATGGTACTGGTACCAAAACAGATATAGACCAGTGGTACAGAACAGAGGCCCTGGAAGCAATGCCACACATCTACAACTATCTGATCTTTTGACAAACCTGACAAAAACAAGCAATGGGGAAAGGATTTCCTGTTTAATAAATGGTGTTGGGAAAACTGGATAGCCATGTGCAGAAAGCAGAAATTGGACCCCTTCCTGACACCTTACACTAAAATTAACTCCAGATGGATTAAAGACTTAAACATAAGACCTAACACCATAAAAACCCTAGAGAAAAA